TTACACAGCGTGTAGTGAGAGTATGGAATAGTCTTCCTGATAACGTAGTGCAAGCTGAATCCTTGGGTTCCTTTAAATCAGAGCTAGATAATATTTTAACGACTCTGAGCTATTAGTTAAGTTCTCCCCAAGCAAGCTCGATGGGCCGAATGGCCTCCTCTCGTTTGTATAGTTCTTATGTTCTTATGTAAAAGTATTTGCCAATTGTCAAGTGACAAAGCAGCCATTTTGCCTCTGAAAAACTGGTCTGTCAAAAGCCCTGTCTCACTGTTAGTTACTGGATTATCCTGATAATACTGTCAGTGAGTAACGCCAGTCCGAGGAACACACGTGATTTCCCTGTGCAACAGGAAAACTGTAGGGAGAAAAAACATATAACGGCAGTAGAGGGCGCTGTAAGGCTATAAATATATACAAGCTCTGTGTTGCTTTTTCTAGTATCTCTCAGGGACTTTCCAGCTCAAACTCCCTTAGTTACAAGATGCTCTACACGAAATGCCTTTGCCTTTTTTGCAGGTTTTTGGGATAACCTTTAAGTCAGCTGTTCAAACCCAGGTATGAGGACTCTTCAGCCAATCAGTCCTCTAATTAGTGACCTAATTAGGGAGTTGCAGCGAAAACCTGCAAACACAGCGGCCCTTTGCGGATAAGATTGCCCACCCCTGCCTCAGTGTCTCTGCTTTATACACTGTAACCCACAGTCTGACTCGTGTCCATTATCCTTTGCTACCAAAATCTCTCCCATCCTGTTGAACTGTCTTCAGTAGGGGTGGGAACTGACAATTTTGAGATTTCATTTTATTTCCTTTAATTGCTTGTTAAGTGCTTTCCCGCACTCTGGCTTCCCTCCCCCAGCCCACATGCATTTATTTTCCCGTGTCTGTAAGTCCCTCTTTACCGTGTGTCTCTGTGTCTTTTTATATCACAATTCCAACCCTCCTCCTTAAGCCGGACTTGGGACCTGAAAAAGTGGCCCCAACACTCTGACACTCTGGTGGAGAGGGACAGTGTGTGGCTCAGTGGCTAAGTCTGTGTGCCTGTAAATGAAAGGTCACCAGTTCAAACCCAACTTCAGCACATCTGTAGGTCCTTGAGCAAGGCTGTTAACCCCCAGCTCCCTGGGCACCCCAATAGGTTCTACAAAGAGCAAGTTGAGGGATGTATGAAGGAAATTTCCCCACGGGGATCAATTATTATTATTACAGTACTTATTTTTGACTAAACCAGGGCAGGATCAGCCAGAAGCGGATTCGCGCACGTGCAATTCATTTGCATTCTGGACGCGGAGGGGTGAACATCTCCTGCTCTGACTGCAGCTGGGCGGGGCTGCTGCACGCGGACTGTCCGCCTGTGAGAGCACTCCTCCTGGGGACTCTCTTGTTCTACTGGGGGACTTCAATGCTCACGTGGGCAATGACAGTGAGACCTGGAGTGGCGTGATTAGGAAGAACGGCCCCGATCTGAACCTGAGTGGTGTTTTGTTATTGGACTTCTGTGCTCATCACGGATTGTCCATAATGAACACCATGTTCAGGCATAAGGGTGTTCATATGTGCACCTGGCACCAGGACACCCTAAGCCGCAGTTCGATGATCGAATTTGTAGTCGTGTCATCAGACTTGCGGCCGCATGTCTTGGACACTCGGGTGAAGAGAGGGGCGGAGCTGTCAACTGATCACTACCTGGTGGTGGGTTGGCTTCGCTGGTGGGGGAGGAAGCTGGCCAGGCCTGGCAGGCCCAAGCGTATAGTGAGGGTCTGCTGGGAACGTCTGGCGGAATCCCCTGTCAGGAGGAGGCGGGGGACATTGAGTCCGAATGGGCCATGTTCCGTGCCTCCATTGTGGAGGCGGCCGACCAGAGCTGTGGCCGTAAGGTGGTCGTTGCCTGTCGCGGTGGCAATCCCCGAACCCGCTGGAGGACACCAGTAGTGAGGGATGCTGTCAAGCTGAAGAAGGAGTCCTATCAGGCCTTTTTAGCCTGTGGGACTCCAGAGGCAGCGGACAGGTACCGGCAGGCCAAGCGGGATGCGGCTTCGGCGGTTGCTGAGGCAAAAACTCGGGTTTGGGAGGAGTTTGGCGAGGCCATGGAAAACGATTTCCGGACGGCAGACGATTCTGGTCCACCATCTGGCAGCTCCGGACGGGAAAGCGGTGCAACATCAACACTGTTTATGGTGGGGATGGGGTGCTGCTGACCTCAACCCGGGATGTTTTGGGTCGGTGGAAGGAGTACTTCGAAGACCTCCTCAATCCCACCGACACGCCTTCCAATGTGGAAGCAGAGTATGGGGACTTGGGTGTGGACTCCCCTATCTCTGGGGCGGAAGTCGCTGAGTTGGTTAAAAAGCTCCTCAGTGGCCGGGCCCTGGGGGTGGATGAGATCCGCCCGGAGTACCTTAAGGCTCTGGATGCTGTGGGGCTGTCCTGGTTGACACGCATCTGCAGCATCGCGTGGACATCGGGGGCAGTGCCTCTGGACTGGCAGACCGGGGTGGTGGTCTCCCTCTTTAAGAAGGAGACCAGAGAGTGTGCTCCAACTATAGGGGGATCACACTCCTCAACCTCCCTGGTAAGGTCTATTCCGGGGTTCTGGAGAGGAGGGTCCACCAGATTGTCGAACCTCGGATTCAGGAGGAGCAGTGTGGTTTTCGCCCCGGCCGTGGAACAGTGGACCAGCTCTATGCTCTCCACAGGGTTCTGGAGGGTTCATGGGAGTTTGCCCAACCAGTCTATATGTGTTTTGTGGACTTGGAGAAGGCATTCGACCGTGTCCCTCGGGGAGTCCTGTGGTGGGTGCTCCGGGAATATGGGATGCCGGGATTCCTTTTAAGGGCTGTTCGGTCCCTGTATGACCGGTGCCAGAGCCTGGTCCGCATGGGCGGCAATAAGTCGGACTTGTTTCCGGTGAGGGTTGGCCCTTTGTCACCGATTCTGTTCATAACTTTTATGGACAGAATTTCTAGGCGCAGCTAGGGCGTTGAGGGTGTCCGGTTTGGTGACCTCAGGATCAGGTCAGATGATGTGGTTCTGTTGGCCTCATTGGACCGTGACCTTCAGCTTTTGCTGGGACAGTTCGCAACTGAGTGTGAAGCGGCTGGGATGAGAAAAGGGTAGAATGCTCTCTCCGGGTCGGGGATGGGGTCCTCCCCCAAGTGGAGGAGTTTAAGTATCTCGGGGTCTTGTTCACGAGTGGGGGGATAATGGAGCGGGAGATCAACAGGCGGATCGGTGCGGCGCCCGCAGTGATGCGGGCGCTGCATCAGTCTGTCATGGTAAAGAAGGAGCTGAGCCAAAAGGCGAAGCTCTCGATTTACCAGTTGATCTACGATCCTACCCTCACCTATGGTCACGAGCTGTGGGTAGTGACCGAAAGAACGAGATCGCGAGTGCAAGCGGCCGAAATGAGTTTGAAATGAGAGCCCAGCAGGGTGGCTGGGCTCTCCCTTAGAGATAGGGTAAGGAGCTCGGTAATTCGGGAGGGACTCAGAGTAGAGCCGCTGCTCCTCCGCATCGAGAGGAGCCGATTGAGGTGGCTCGTGCTTCTGATTAGGATGCCTCCTGGACGCCTCCCTGGTGACCTGTTCTGGGCATGTCCCACTGGGAGGAGGCCCCGGGGAAGACCCAGGACACGCTGGAGGGACTATGTCTCTCGGCTGGCCTGGGAACGCCTTGGGATCCCCCCGGAGGAGCTGGATGAAGTGGCCGGGGAGAGGGAAGTCTGGGGTTCCCTGCTGAGACTGTTGCCCCTGCGACCCGACCTCGGATAAGCAGGAGAAAATGGATGGATGGATGGACAAAGTACTGTTTTGATAAATGTGCTTAGATGTGTTTAGTACAGTATATGCTCTTCTTGTTTAATCTGGTTCATTTTGTGTTTAAATGCTAAAAAAAAAACATATTTAGGTGTAATTTTTGGGGGCCGGGAACCAATTAATTGGTTTTCCATTATCTCTTATTGGGAAAATTCGATCAGAACTCGAATTTTTTAGGATTAGACCTGGAGTTCTGAACGGCTTAAGTTCAAGTTCTGAGGTACCACTGTATAAGCAAACCTTTTTACATTAACATGTCTCGCTTCCCGTCGTGCGTTTGGTCTCACCAGTGCAAATCTCTCAGGGGCAGGATTTAAAATCGCTGCAGGTGGGGAGCGCGGATGAAAAATCCAGTATCTATAACTGTAATGTGTGTTTTGTTTTCCCAGCCATACCCTGCAGTATGTCTACAGCAGTTCATCAGGGATACCGAACCTCCCAGAGTTTATGACCATAGGGCTGGTGGACGGTATAACTGTCGCTAAGACGGTTATTTTATAATTACTTTTTTGTTGGTTTGATTTAATATAGAATGTATACTGTATTAAATGCATATCAGTGCTCTTTGAGAACTATTTAATTGATCTGTGTTAACCTTTGATCATGTGACTGAATTAGGCAGGAGTGAATGCACTCTGGGAGATTCATGGATTCGACTTGTGGGGAAGCTTGTCACTGCAGAACCTGTAATAACTCCTAAACATTTGGTCAGAAGGTGCACACGGTAATTTCTATTTATTGTATTTACTTGTTGTCTTGTGTTGAAAAGTTTGTTTTGAATTATGGTGATGTATGAGCTGCTGTTTATCGGTAATATTGTGGATCTTTTAGGATGTCTGTAAGATTAAGTGCAATGCAGGAGTTTAATAATATGTTTATTTTATAGTTTTTCACAGTGTTGAGAAGAATAAAGACGGAAAAAACTTCAACATCAGTCGAGCGTATGTTTTCTGCACCAAATGAAGAACTTTGGGAGCTGTTATAGATGGGGAGCCCTTCACTTAATGTAAATCGGAAGGAAGCAAGCCAATGTTTTTATTCTGGACTTTTTGAATTCTGCACATCTCAGTGTCAGGGGCATCCCTGGGTGGGGCATCCCTGTTGTGTTACACCAAAGGTAGAGTCCTTCCTATATAAAATCTCCAGTATTTCTGCATCACACACAGCATGCAAATTCACACCAGTGAAACCATTTAGGGGTTTGTTCCCCAGCACCTGCCCCCATGTAAATGTAGGAATTCCCCACTCAGCCTCTGATTGGTCCATGATCAGCTGCCATTGACACACTGTGAGGACGTGGTCATTCTGAGGAGGCATCAGGAGCCTCTGTCCTTACAGACTGACTGTAACAGCTCCTAATGTTTTTCTTCTGTCAGAAATTAGATCACGATTCAACTTATGTTCAGCATGATATTTTTAATTTCTTCCTTCCATCGACATGACAAACCAAACACCGTGGAAAAATTGAAATAAAAGAATATTACACTTACAACTCCATTTTACAGAATTCTTTTGCGTGTTTCTACTGTGTTTACAATACAGTGCAAAATCATGAAGATACATATAAAAACAAGAAAAGGCAAAACAGTAACATACTGTATGCTCCTTCTGACCAGAATTAGGAGACATTACTGCATTTTTACATCTCTCTCTCTCTCAGCTATTTTTGCATTCTGCTTATTAATCTTGCTTTATCCGGTTCATTTTGTGTTTAAATGCTAAAAATAAACATATTTAGGTGTAATTTTTTGGGGGCCGGGAACTCACTAGGTGAACTGTGTGTGGGTCTAAATCGCTTCAGCAGGGGAATCTGAGCCTGTTTATTTATCTTTTTTTAATTTGTCAAATAAGGTCCCGTTGTTGTAATACAAAACAAAGTGTTTTTAAACAGTCACTTAAGCACACTTAAATCCTCAGCCTAGTGTGTGTGTGTTGTCATGTCACTTTTTCAAACATCCCACTGTATATTGATTTCAGGGAGCTGGATGAGGGACAACCGGAGGGGGGTTGCTGGCTAGACTTGGGTGGTATTAGAGTAATACTGTGTACCACGGTATTTTCATTAGAAAATATCCTCCCCCCCTCCACAAATATTATTGGGAAATACAGTACCTGAATCTGTTATCAGCTTTGTCTGTGATGATCGGGGTGGTGGGGGCTGGCTAGGCTTGGGCTTTATTGTCACATATTTCTTTCTTCTCAGCCAATCAGGAGTCAGGAGCCCCTCATGTAGATCTTCAGATTCAGTATTTATTGCAACATTTGCAATTGCAACAAGTTACAGCCGAGGCTGGACACCCTGCAGAAGTGTGTCTAATGCTAGTTCATGCACATCTTTTATACATGTTCTTTCACCTTATCAGACACGTCATCACAGGGAATTCTCCAGCACGTCTCTTCCTTTCCCGATCGCCAGCCAGGCCCTGGTGGTTTGTGCTTCCATGTTGAATAACTTCCTTCCTTGGCTCCTGAAGATGCATGTTTGTGGTGTAGCTGTCCTTGGAGTGTGAGCCGGTCCAAGGTCCAAAAACACTGTTATGTCATGAACTTGGGTGGTTCTGGTGCGAGGACGAGGCATGGTGCAGGCCGGAACCCACAACCCACGCGCCACTCACAGGACAAAGGCTTTTAGGAAACAGAAAACAGTAGAAACACTTACAAAAACAAAAAGACCACGAGGGGTCAAAAGTAAAAGGGGATAAACAGAGACTAACTACAAATGTGTCGGGCAGGTAAGAAAATATGAAATTTACAAATGAGAGGAGGCCATTTGGCCCATCAAGTTCATTTGGGGAGAACTTAACTAAAACCCAGGGTTTTAGCTTGTGCTACACTAGCAGGAAGACTATTCTATACTCTAACTACACGCTGTGTAAAAAAGTGCTTCCTCAATTTCGTTTTAAAATGTTCTCCCGCTAATTTCCACTTATGGCCACGAGTTCTAGTATTTAGACTAATTTTGAAATAGTCATTTGGCTGAACAGCATCCAGACCTGTTAGAATCCTATATACCTGGATCATGTCTCCCTTTAGTCTCCTTTGCTCGAGGCTAAACAGATTCAGCTCAGCTAACCTCTCCTCATAAGAC